TTTGCACTCCTTAAAGGTGTGTCCATCACATCCGCAATGTCCACATGTATCGGTCTTAGCTTTGCAGTGTTTCGACACGTGACCAAAGGATTGGCACTTGTAGCAGCGGCTGACGACGGTGTGGTCTCTAATCCACAAAGATAGCCATCCTATATAAACTTTTTCGTTCTTTAGGAGAATGTTCCTCGCATCCTCGGCTTCGCCTCGGCCAACAATTACATGTACTCTGAGACATTTCTTACTTTACCTCCCTAGGTGAGTAATATACTATTCTTAATGTTTAAATAATAGAATAAAACAGTTTTTGTTCATGTACCTCGTGATTTTTTTTTAAATTAATTTTTACACCCCTTTGGCGCGCTCTGCCGGCATTTTAACCTCTAGCAAACTGTCTGCCAATATTTTTTCGCGAGTCCTTAATATAAATACAAGCTTTTTCCATAATTAGAATCCGTGTACCTTATGATTTTTTTCACACCTAAATCTCACGTTTTCAATCGTACGCCCCCGCTTTAGGCCCCAGTTTTGCGATTGCAGACTTTCAAATTTATGTTCAGTTATACCAAAGCTACCTTTTTCAATAGAAATGAATCTTGAACCAGATAAAAGCATTTTTATGTAGCCAGCTCTCTGTCTATCACATAACTTCTTCCAAACTTGCACGGCGTTTTTACGTTTTCGAAAGTAAAAACGTAAAATATAACGAAAGTGCTCACTTTGGTTTTCCATTTTTAATTTTATAATCTTTCGCAAATCACATTACATTTGTAACTTAAAATATTTTGGAATGTCAGCTGTTAACTTAAATAGAAACTACGAAATGATTCATATCGCTTCCAAAACTTTTGGCGCCAACTATAGAAAAACGACATTATTTTTTGAACAACCCAATAAATTATACTCCTAAGCTCTAAGTTTTCAAACCCACCTTCCCCGAGTGTTAGATCATGCAATCCGCGAAAAGTATTATTTTTCAATCAAACAAGAATGAATTAAGTATAAGACTTCCTAACTCCAAACCTCCAAACCTATCTCCTAACCGATCTACCGCGAGTTTTAGTTTACGTAATCCGTAAAAAATGTTCAATCTCCGAATCCACTATATAACTCCCGACTATGGCAAACATTCAAATTTGTAACACATAAACGCCGAACTAACAATCCCTACAATTCTAAATCCGTATCTATATTCCAAAAATTAATATTCTTAAACCTGAGGCTTCCAACTTGTACCTTTCCAAATCTATCCAACTTGAATTTGAGAATATGTGTACTCAATGGATACAAAAAATCGAATAAAAATACTTTTTATAGCACTCTAACCTCAAAATGACAATTTTATACCACATTTTGAGGTCGTGCTATACCTACATGAGAAGGTAGCAAGAGGCATATTTTTCCATTTTTTTTTTTCAATTTATTTAAAGCGATATAGTCTTTGCAAGTCAATGTTATAAATTTTTTACGTTATTGTATGTTATAACAAACAATTGTACGAATTTTAGATTTTAAAAAACGAGAAATTAAAATTTTTTAGGAGCGGACCCCAATCCCCTATTTTCCCTGGCTGCGACTAGTCGGTCACGGCTAGTTTCAGCGTCATTAAAATATTGTATAAAACTATTGTGGAAAGGGGTTTTCTGTTATACAGCCATTGCATTCGCACGGAACGCGTAAGTTTGGACAAAACGCAATGTCTGTGCCACATTTTATTGAATCTATCTTAAGTTTTCTGTAAGACTTCTTCAAACGATAATGAACAAATCCGCATTATTTTTCCGCATTATTCATACAAACTTTCTTGAAATATTGTCTACAATCTTTACAAAAGGTTTCTGCAAGGTTTTTACAGAACATTTTTTCATCAAGTTTTTGCAAAAAATTACATATTTTGGAAATATTTTGAAAATATTTCCAGAAGATATGGCAAAAGATTGCAAGAAAGTTTTTAAAAATGTTTTGAGAAATATTATTTGAAGAGTTGCTATAAACTTTACAAAACATTTTAAAGAAATGAATAAAAAACACTTTTCAAAGTCTTTTTGAAACTGTGACGTCCCAGAAGGGGATGTCAAGGAGCAAGAACAATTCTAAAGATATTTTTCTTTGATCCGGTCACGCTACCAACGTTTATTCGGTCGAAAGAATATATGCCCTATTTTGGGTCAGTCTGTAAAGCCAGTACTTTACCGGGATCTGGGCTAAAAGGGTGAAATCTATTAAGCGAGTAAGAGATAGTGGTTTACCCGATATTACTATTGTCTTAAGGTGGTTAAGAGTCCCCGAAAGATGGTCTTCTGTTGGTGTTGATCGTCCGATTTGAAACTCTTAAAGTCTTTTAATGTTTAGTGCCGTGTTATAGGTTACTGGATTCGGTTCTTGCAAAAGCACTTTGGTTACAGAACAGAATACGAATTGATTACTAATATAGATTTGTTAACTAATTTTGAAAATATCAGATTATAGGAAATACAAAGATTCGTCGCAGCACTCGTCATCGGTACAATACACCTTTAACACACGCACGCTATCGGTACAATTCACTTTCAATATAGGCACGCGGTCGGCACAATCCACTTTTAGCATACGCACGCCGTCGGTACAATACACTTTTTATATCTAACAAAATGCAAAGAGAGGTATACGAAGAACAATTGGCTAATATGAAAACTTATATAGCTGATCTACAAAATCAATTAAAGACCGTTAAAAATGATTTTAGTCACTGCAGGAAAGACGAATATAAGGGGCTTAGGTTTCATTCGTTAAATGCTTATATACTAAATCCCCCTCTCTATACCGCTTCTTGTTCTTTCTCTTTTCGCGTACTTCACCTTAAACTACACCTTCGTTTTAAATCCCCACTTTGCACTATCGCAGAGAGCAACAGATTTCATGATCGAAGTGTTCAAGATCACGTACGCAAGAAACACACACGCACACACACATACATTTTCCCACTTCTCCATACCATCATAGGAATAAAAACATCTTTACTCAATATAGAAACATATATTTAAACTCGTAAGAAGATCGTTTTTGACCTATTCTAAGAATATCGATTTACATCTATTTATATGAAAACACCTTTATTCTGTGTTTATGTGAGAAATGTATTTATTTCATTCTAGAAATACTCTCACTTCTTCATATCATAACAACAGAGAATGACAGTTTTTATACTTTTACTTAATCGGAAAGACATATTCGCTTATCCTAGAATATTTACTACATTTCTAGAACCATCTCTTTTCTTTTGTTTATATAAAGAAATCACGTATTTATTCTATCCTAAAAATACTCTCACTTCTTCATATCATAATAACAAAGGATTACATTTCTTATACTTTTACCTAACAGAAAAACATCTTTGCTAATCCTACATGTGATCAACGAATGCCAATATCGATGGTCGTTCATGAAAGTAGTTATAAAATAAAATTAAGAATACAAATGTATATATATTACAAGGTACGAATATAGCTAAATAGTAATTAGTAACCCACATAACATAAAAACTTTCTAAAAACTTTCTAAAACATTTCTTGAAAAGCTTTAAACTTTTCAAAAAGGTTTCTAAAAAATATTTCTACAAGGTGAAAATGTTTGCGTTCAGAGACTTGCCAAAGATTACTTTATCAGTAAAATATTTTAGAAATGTTTTAAAAATATTTTTGTAAAATCTTTTATGAATCTTTTTAAAAATATTTTAGAATGATGCCTGCAAGGTTTCTAAAAGATTGTTTGAAAATATTTTACAAAACTTTCACTAAAAGATTTCAAAACCTTTCGTGTTGTGTGGGAAATCACTTATAAATAGGACACTCGCACAATTGGCGTAACAAAGTTCGAAATTATTCGTCACTAGGACGTGACAAAACATTTGATGAAATATTTTTCATAATGTTTTTACAAAACTTCTTTTGAAATATTGTGTGAAATCTTTGCAAAAGGTTTCTAGAAGGTTTTCTAGAAATATTTTTTCATCAAGTTTATGCAAAAAATTATATTTTTTTGAAATATTTCGGAAATGTTTTCAAAACATATCGCAAAAGATTTCAAAAAAGTTTTTAAAAATGTTTTGAAAAATATTATTTGAAAAGTTCCTATAATGTTATATATAATGCTATATAGTTAAACTTTTCTTCACGCATGTTTTTCGTTGAACATATCTAACTATGGTATATCCTGTTCATACCAAAAATGAAGAAAATTGATTCGTTTTCGAAGCTAGAGCAAACTATGCTTTAAAAACGTGGTTCAACTAATAAGCTTCGTGAAATTTCGGTTTTCATTTTTTTCTCAGAAAATAAGCAACTTACAAAAAACAGTCTTTTTGATCCTGATAATTTTTCTAAAAATCCGTACCATGACAGCACTTTTGTGACTGCAAAGAGCCCGGCTAAGTGCTATGAACGTTACTCGATCCAGGCCTTCAATTCCGAACCAAAGAAGGGATTTTCTTTTTTTTTTAAAGAAAAACTAAGTAAGAAATGATACAATACTATATAAAAGTTTCGTCACCGCCGCTGTCACAGTGTTAAAAATTTCTAATAAAGAAGGGATTTTTATTAAAAAACTAACCGAGAAATGGCTTTATCAAGATGTTAATACTCCTAAAAATGTTTTTATTGCAAATGATCTGGAAAATGGAAATGAAATTGAAAATAATGTTAGAAAAGAAGTTCTCGATTAAATTTCTTCTCTTTGACACACGTATATCTAGCATTTACATTGATGAATAAACCTATAAGCGTGTATAAAGCATAAGAAAATCGCTCTATACCACACACTCATAGGGAGAACTCCTATCACATATATTATCTCGCTACTGCTGCTAACTCACAGCTGCTACCTTTTCTTCCATCCTTTTCTCTCTTTCACCCCGCAATCCTATTATTCTCTCATCCATTATACGTGAATAGCTGACAGCTTTAAACGTGCATGCTTTATCTTTTTGCATCTGTATAAGAGCTTGCATGTTGTGTAGGCGAGATAATACAGGGTTAACGGTGTTGGTGCATGTTGTTATTTAGAGATGACGGCAAGCAGTGATGCTAAATACTACGCAAGCTACCATCACGAGGTACTACTTTTCTATCAAAAAATCCAGCATAATTGCTTACTACTGCTGAACACGCTGGACGATATTATACAAGTGTATAATATCCTCACGGACGACTCACCGAAGACGAGTTTAACCCTTCAGTATCCACGTTATTCGGTTCACCTTCTTTACTCTTGCCATGAGAGAAAATCTCACGGCTTCTGCGCAAGCGCATCAGTTTTTCTTTTTTCATAAAAATCGTAATACATTTTAATTTCTGATAACAATAAAATAATTTTATAACTTATAATGAATGAATGTGAATCTAGTAAATAAATTAACTTTTAGAATATAACAAAAATTAACTATGTTTTAAAATATTAAAAATAATAAAATAAGTTTTAAAAAATAAAAAAATGTACTTGTCAAAAATTAAAATATCTATAAGCGCATTTTTTCTTAACTAAATCACAACCGATTCAAATTTTTTACGCTAAGTAGATTTGCGTGTTTATGTAAACAAACATGGCCGCAACCGTCTAGCGGAATCATCGGAACGATGCCGAATACAGACGAACAGCGAAATTTTCCATCCATTGATACTCTAGGCATGAGAAAAAATCTCATAACCTCCGAAAAAAATTTTTTTTTAAATTTATAATCAAAATGAGTAATTTTTTATTATACAATTGAAAAGAATATAAAAATTGCGGAAGGTAAAAAAAATTTCAAGTGGCCTTCACATTTGAATTTAAATAAATAATTGAGATTGAAACCGAGCATAAGTAAAAATCTCATAGCGTGGGTACTGAAGGGTTAAATATACAACGTTTTTACAACATAATTAAAAATTAATATTACCTCATTTTAATATTAACAACTTTTTTTCAAGATCGAAACATATTATTTCAAATCTAATAAAACTATACTACATAGTATAGAAGAGAAGAAAATAAAGAAGTAAAAAATGTTTTAATAATGAAAGTAATGTAATGATTAAATACTCACTTTTGCACAGATAAATTCTTGATTACGGATTGCAATTATTTGAATCAATTACATACAGTGCTTTTGTTACTTGCAAACTGTAATAAATGTATTGATGACTGCTAATACCAACAGCTGTGTCCTTGATATAGATCACTGTACAGCAATGGTGTATGTACATGTACTGTATATAATAATGCCAACTACCCAAAAACTGAAACTATAAAATTTTTTATGTTGAAAACAATCAAGTAAATGTAAACAATTTACATATAAATAACAGACTATTCGCAAACAAATGTAGGTAATATATATATAAAATAAAAGGGTAAGGAAGAGAGGGGGAAGTTGGTGGCGGCATTTGTAGACCTGAAGGCGGCGTTTGACTCGGTAGACCGGAAGGTTCTGCTGCGAGAAATGGAAAAGAGAGGGATAAGAGAGGGGCTCAGGGAAAGGGTGAAGGAAGTTTATCAGGAAACAACAAGTAGGGTGAAGGCGGGAAGGGAGGAAGGGAATAGATTCTGGACGGCAGAAGGGGTCAGGTAGGGTTGCCCAATGAGTCCGATACTCTTCAACATATTGACAGCAGATTTAGAGGAGGAATTGATGAAAGGAAGATGGGGTGGTGTAAGGGTGAGAGAGAAGAGGATAGGCTCATTAGCGTACGCGGATGTGGTCTTGTTGGCTGGAAGAGAAGAAGAAATGGAAAGCATGCTGAGGAGGATGGAGGAGTATTGTGATAGGAAAAAGTTAAAGGTGAATGTGGAGAAAACAAAGATGCTAAGATTTAGGAGAGGAGGGGGAAGAAATAGAGAAATAGACTGGAATTGTAAAGGGAAGAGGATAGAAGAGGTGAAGGAGTTCAAGTATTTTGGCTATGTATTCAGAAAGAATGGAGGACAGGAAGTGCACTTGAGGGATAGGGTAAAGAAAGAAGGGGCAGTAATGAGGCAGGTATGGGGATTAGGGAGAAGAATGTTCAGCAAGGACTGGGGGAGGAAGATGTGGCTCTTCGACACGCTTCGGACGGTGTTAAGCTACGGAGCGGAGATATGGGGGTAAAATAAAAGAGATAAACTGAGAACAAGAGCAGCGAAGAGAGCGTGGAAGTATGAGGAGAAGTTAAGGATTCATTCTGGTTTTTACGCAGAAAAAAGGCTATTTTCACGAATTTTTTTTAGGCTTTGTAGGATACATATACATATGAAAGTTGTTGGGTATGATAAATACACTCCAGAAGTACGAGAAAAAAATTTTTTTTATTGTTTTTAACATAT